ACACGATTTGGAACGCAGCTTAATCAGTGCGCGATCGAAATCATACATTTTCGCGGGCGTTGAAAATATCGTGCGTGTGAAAATAAATGACTAGTGAAGTAAAGAATTATGGCGCTCATTAATTAATCAATATTCAATTCAATGCTAATGTCTTTTCGATCTTTTCCTTCTACGTCACGCTGCTTTAATTATCCGTCGACATATCTTAAAAAATCTTCTATTAACTTTATTCTTTCGCGTTTTCGAATAAAATAAAAGTAGAATAGATCTGTATGATTATTAAGACTGCGCTATTACGATTCTTTTTAAGCGCTACCGAGTGTCTCGCGATTTGTTTCTCTCGGAAGGCGGGAAATGGATTGGGGTTGTGTGTCAGGTGTCTCACGCTTCCGGTTCTTCGTCCTTCTCGCATAACGTTTCCCCGATAGTTTTCGATTTTTTTTAAAAGCGATAAGGCATTGTTGGATATGTCAGCTGAGATCTTCGAAACGTTTCTGGGATTGCGGTAAACATCGAAAGCTTTACAAAAATATCTCATCTTATTTTTATCTGTTCAAGTTCCCTTGTAATATTTTCCCCCGTCGCTTTTCGAAATCCTTCGAGCTACCCCTTCGTCCTTTCTCGTCTTTCGAGTCTGACGATCCTTCGTCGAATCCGACGCGACGAATTTTCTCATTTCCTCCCGTTCGAGAGGAAACGAGAAGCGCAAACTCGCCTTCCTCGTTTGTCCCGTCAGCTCATCTCGCTCTTAGTCCCTTTCTTAATACTATTCCGATCTTTCTCTCACCGCGACATAGTGACTAAAGCGAGTTGCCATGCTCCCGTGCATGCTACAAAAGAATAGCGAAGAAAAGATTCAAATGTGCTCCGGGAAATCTTTCACAGTTTGTTGTTGTCTCCCTCCTTCTTGTCCCTCTTCTCCGACATGACGATGTCGATTGAAGCCGCCGTTGTCGTTGATGGATATGATTAAGCGCAAACTTTTTGGCACATTTGCTGAAATCTCAGGCAATTAAACCCTCGCGATACGATAGTCGTTTAAATAGACTTCTCCTTAACGATATCTACAAGAAAAAGTTTGTTGTACTTTTCGGTAGCAAGATTAAAAAACTTTTATTTTCAAAATAATGTCAAGCGATTAACTTAATTTAAACTTAAATTTTATTTTAAGCTTTATTATTAGAATTATTTCATGAGATGCGGAATATTAAATAGTTGAAACGATTTGTTTAGAACGCCAATCTATCGAAGCAACAATTCAAAAATGTTAAAATGTCGGTCGTGTTAACATTTGACGAGATAAAAATAGAATATTTTATACATTTATAAACAACATTCATGTATCATATCGGCGTGGGATTAATCGCTTGGATAATGTGATTAAGTGTCTTTCTTCGCTCGCTTGTGGCTCGATTTGGCATTCATACAAAAATTGCTCGCACGCGTATATTCTCTCTATCTATAGTTTTAACAGTTTTTCTTTTTTGTTTTAGTCGGCAAAATCGCGGACGATCGAGTCGTTTCTCCTCTCTCGGCAGATGCGTGATTAGCGTATTAAAATACTCGCGGTATGCTTGTCATTACGCACTACTCGATTCCTGCTCTATTTATCGCTTGCTATATGAAGATAATATTTAATAATTTCTATATCTTCATTTATTCGCATCTATTTGTCGGAATCATGCATATACGCAAGAATGGAATGCGACTAATCTGGAGTCTTATATTATTCGCAGAATGAATTTCCAGTAAACTTTCCCGACTCGAGGAAAAAAACATATCACGGTTTTCTTCGTATTATAATTAAAAATAGTTTGCAATGTTGCAAACGAAAATCAGCCTTCGTAGCAGCTAATTTTCTTCGACTTTACAGGTACAGTTAAATTAAATTTGTGTAAAAATCTGTGTGAAAATGTGGAAGGTACGTATCGAGATAAAGCACGATAATTCGAATAAGAAAGAGAAAATGTAAAAATTTATTTAATCAACAAGGCCGCCTTTTTCCTAGAGTCAGAGATTTTGTCGAAGGATCTTCCCGAGATCCTCCCGTTTACGCAGGATCCTCCGCGATTTTTTCCGTTGCTCGAACACAAACTCGACTCAGGCCCTTACTATGCGTACGCACTCTCTAAGCTTACAATTTCTCTTCGAAAATACCGCCCTCTTATTATTCTTTTATTTTATATATATTTCCTTCTTTTTATCTTTAAATTATTCCCCTTTCGGCGAGGCGCTTGACGCCCAGTTAGTTAGGTACAATTTGCAATTCCACTACGGTAATTTTTCATACCATAATACTTATATGTACATGTATAAATATGTGTACCATAGTGTGTACGTGAGTAATATACTTCTTTAAGCCTCAACAACGGTTTGCAACGTAACACGTCCCCATCGTCCCGATCTCGGTCAAGATCGTCGTTAATTCTGCCTCGATGACGATCTCATCGACGCACTTCGGCCATATTCGACAGTCAAAAAAATATTATCATTAATCCTACCTCGGGTCACGATACTTTTGTTACGCGCATGAGGGATTTCTCAAAAATTATATCTTTTTCTGTTTGATATTTATTAAATATCAATTCGATTTCTATGTATTCTAGGTCTTAACTTAATTTTTATCACAGACGTTATAGAGAATAAATCAAGAAAAATACTGACAATTTCTAGATTATATTAGTGCGAAAATCGATTCACTCTTGGCAGATTGGTATCTCTGTAGAGAGACAACGAAATGTTATTTTTTACTTGATTTTAAATTTCAGCGTGAAATGTAGTTACGTTAAAGTTAATTGGATTAAATTGGAAAAGTTACATGCAAGTGTTTGTTTTATGAGTATATCGCGCGCCCGAGGGGTCAAAATCTTCTAACACACAACTGACAACGCAATAAACGAACAACGCGTAACGTCCTAGCGACGTTCTAATCAACGGCTATCAACTACGTCAACGTTAATCTATACAGTATAACATTTAACAGACTATTAAGCGGTATTAGGCGCGATTTCGAGGACCAGCCGAACGACACCTAATCACTCGAATTAACGAGAATCTTGATCAACAGAACTGTACTCGAAAAGTAGAAGGAAGTTGTCTAGAATTAATTATATTAGTTATTCATAAAAATTCTCAAATTAAATAAGTATAATAACGAAAAAATCAGGACTGCGTTAAAAAATTCTAGAATATTTGAATACGTTTTTTTTTCTAGAAAAACAATTCTTTTATAACACAAATTTCACATCTACTTTATTTTATATGCGAATTTTATATTTATTTAATTTACATTATTTAATTTAATTTGTTCTGCATACCTCCCCGTATTATTTAATTTATTTTTCACTAAAAGTTGCGCGTTTACAATTTTCAGAAGCTCGCCAAGCTTCGCCTGAAAATAATGAGCTTTCGAACTCGCGTCCTTCTACCTTTCGGATACAAATATCATAACTCTCATAATTAATCAACGGCGCGATTAATCTCGGACTCGAGCCGACGCGACTTTACACCGTCGAGATACAGATTTCGCGCGAATATAATATCTGTGTCGAACGCGTGGGTGTAATGTCTGTGAGGTAATCGTTCACGCAACTACACCGTGTGAGCATGTTAAGTTCGCCCTCCCCTCGTTGCACTGCCTCGCGCATTCCGCCGAATTTATGCCCTCCCCCTGTCCCGAATATCGATCCCTTATCGATTAGTAGCTTTATTAAGTATACGTAAACGGCTTGCGTTAGTTAGTTTGGCACATTGCGCGATTCTGCCGTCCGTTTTCTCTCAAACAACCTTGAAGTAACCACCGATGTTAAAAAATAAAATATACGATTCTCTCTCTTTCTCTTTGCGCTTTATCTTCGGGGTCCTCCGAGGGATGATAGCTCTCGCATCTTGTTATCGAGCTCAACTTGGTTACGACAATCGCGCAATTAATTGGTAAACAGTTCTGCGTTTCGAGATTGGACGCGGCGTTGCCAGAAGCCATCATCCGAATGTACTGTCCCGGTGCTCTCGAAATATCGGCTATTTGCTTCCTATCGAACTGCGATCTGTTACAAGAGTATGTACAGCGGTATGTAATATATACAGTAAGGTAACTTCTTTACGGCAAGTCTCGTGCCGATTTCGCGGATTTCGCGCGCGAGGGGAGGAAAGTTTCGAGCGGATTTGCGACTCCAGCTATACTTCAGCACGAGAGTCCAGGAACTTTCAAGGATTCCTAGTCCCATGGTAACGTGGCCTTCCGAGGGGCCTAAATCTGGGTCTGGCAACGCCGGTCCGGAATCTCTTCGGCGTCCTCGCTTCTTCTCCATTTGAAGAGTGTAATCTTCGAGGTGTTGTTTCATCAGCGGTTGAAGTGAAGATCCCACCACCAGGGCCAGGTTAATCAATTAGCAGCTGACCGACAGCTCGGCCGTCCGAATCGAGAACTCGAAGGAGATCGTTAGATCCCTTCGAGGCTACTTCTAAAGCTGGATCTTCGGGAAATTTTGACGATCCGTTTGCAGCTTAATCTCGATCGGATTCAACGGCGGGGACGTTCGAGTTGGATTGCCGTTGACCGAGCTTTGGTCAGGTTGGGCTATGGTGGTTCCGGCTCGGAGGTGGGAGATTCCTGCTACGCCTCCAGGAAAATGAGCGCCGTCGGCTTCGGCTCCAAGTTGCTCTTCTTCGCTTCCACTACCAGGAACTCGATCTCGTTTCGGTCGCGGCGCGCGAATGACTCCGCGATCAGTCGCGCGACCTCTTGATGATGAAGTCCTGCAAGTAACGCAGAAATATAATCACTGCTCAGAGAATTGAATTTAGCGTTATTTCTAGGTTTATACGATTATTAATTGCTTAAAGCCAATTTTGTAAAACTTGCACAGTTTTTATTATTGCTTAATAGAATCGAATTTATCGTTGTTTAACATCTTTTATTACAAAATTGAATTTGTTTAATTCTGAAATATCTTGTTGCTGTTGCTCAAAATAAACTATTTTTTTAAATTTTACTAGACACTACAGACGCGCGCTTCGCGCGCGCTATTTAGCTTTAACATTATGCTATTACTATTACATTATTAACTCTTTGATACACACAACTGTCAAAATATACAATGACAGCTGCAAATGAAGTAAGCGCAGCAAGAGAACCAATCGGCATCGCGGAAAAACGACAACAATAAACTTCACATCTCCTTTTTAGAAGAGGAGAACTTCACAGTTCATAGAATCCGGTAAGAATAATAATAAAAACACTGCAATAAGATATTGTGTAAAATACCTTGAGAGATCTATTACATTTGACCTTGCTGGCATTACCTTCAACTTTTTGACCATCGACCTCGAGGATGAGCTGTCCGACTTCGAGGCCGCCAGCTTCGTAAGCTGCTCCGTTGTCCTGCAACGAATTACCGCATGTGTTAGTCACGTTTATAGCGTAATATTGTTTATGCCACCGTAAATGGTGCCGGCGATAAATTCGCCCGACGCATATTAATCGAGCGTTTCGGTGAAGGCGAGCTTCATTTAAGTTAAGTGCCCCCGGCGTCACAGTAATATAAAACATATATTTCGTCATAATTTCATTAAGAAGATGAAGAAAATATTAATTGGCGCTTATTAGTGCCCCCATTCTGCGCATAATTATTTATATAAGTTGCCAGAGAAAGAGAAAGAGATTTGTATATTCAATTTCAAGAAAATATATATTTTTTAAATAAAATATAATATTTCTGGATAATATTACGTCTCAAATTAATGAGCTTGAAATAAACTAAACAATAAGAACATATTATTAATTTGCATAGACAATTATGCTCAAAATATTATTAGCTCAATACTTTATTTGTTGCTCAATAATTTTTTTTAACTATAACTTTTGTCTAACTTTCTTCTAATTTGTCTTTAGCCTTACTTTAATTTTCTTCTATCCCAACAATCTGTGACTTTACTCTAATCTCCGTTTGATACACACTCTCTATTTGTATTCTTTCTCTAAATCAACGTTCTCCAACTTTTCTAGTTTTCCCTCTAATCTAATCTTCTTTCTTAATTCTATTTTGACTTTTAATCCAACATCTCTCGGATTTGCTTCAATTTCCTCTCTAATCCAACATTTGCCAGCCTTGATCTAATTTAACCTCCCGCGTTAGCCAGGTAGTATTTGCTCTTCGGCGAAGTACTCACGTGTATGTTGATGATCCGGGGCAGTGGATGCTTGGTGTTGGCGCCGCCCTCGATGGCGATGCCCAGAATCGACTTGGTCTTTTTCACGGTGATTCGCAGATTACCCTGATGATCGGGCACCACCAAGGCGCCGTCCTCCTCCCGTCGCTCCGACATCTCGCTGCGGGTCAGCCGCTGCACGCTGTGATGCCTTCGCGGCGGACCCCCCGCGGGCCCACCCACGGCGGATCCGCTGCTGGAACCACCCTCTTCCAGCAGCTGCGCTTCCTGCATGTCGAAGCTCCGCGAAAGCTTGTGCGCGAGCTCCTGGAATGGGCACAACTTGCATTCGAACGACGGTAGTTGAGCGTCAGGCCTTTTCTCCGGCCATTTCGCCGGATACGCGCCAGCAACCAGAAATCACTCGATTGAGCTTTTATCATATTTGCATCATCACGTTTCAAAGTAAAACTATATGATAAATATATTAAGCAGATATAAAATCTTTAATCATGTATGTACGTATTGCAAAATCTCTAAAAAAGTTCTCGATTTTCTTTCTTTTACACGATAATTTTAAATAAATATGATAAATAACATTATAAAAGTTTATTGTATCTGGATTCCCGAATTGTGTAGAAGTTATTAAATTATTTTAAGTTTAATATTCAAATAAAAGTAAACTGTGACTATAATAAGTTGCAATAAATTTTCAAGTTTTGTCCGAATTATAAAATTATAAATTTTTTAATTGTTTCAAATTACAATAATAATATATTATAATATTACAAAATTATATTAAGTTTATTTAACTATTTTTATAATAAATATTTTAATAATAAAATTTTAATTCTATATGTGAAGAAAAGAGCGCGATGATATTCGCGTCTTTTCACCGTTTAATAAATTAATTTAGTTGCTGTCGCGTATCCGAAATATCATCTCGATGCACACACACACACACACACACACACACACACACACACACACACACACATACACACACACATATGACGACAGTACATAAGAGCTAAAAAGGCTTGTGCTAGCATATCCGCGTGCACGCTGCAGTGGAAGAGCGTTCTGGTAATCTTCACGCAGCTTCCGATACGAAATCGATAAATGTCACAAGATATCTGCAATCGCAGTAATTTTCGAGCTCTCGTAATATTGAGACGCATTTCTACGCGGGACATTAATTCCGACGTAAAATGCGAAAGTATACTGATTGGAAGCTGATAGAGAAAAGTATATTTGAAATGAATGCATATATAATATTAATATATATCTCTTTTTTTGAAATACATTATATCTATCCTTTCGATGCTTTCTCATCTCGCATGCCTTATCTAGCGTGCTAAAAATTAAATGGGATTAATAGCGAAGAAATGGAATAATATATAATACCTTAATTACGATAACAAAAATATCTGTTTTTTGTCATTTTAACTTTAATAGTAAATCTTTAATGACAAAGAAAGTATTTAGAAGTTATTTCAATGTAGGGAGATATTTCATCAATAATAATTAGGCAACTTGTACCCTCCTGATTTTAATTTCATTAGAAAAGACTTAATTATTGAAAAGTGGAGAGATATTTCGGTAATGAAGTAACAATAAAACTCTTCAGCTTTCGCGTTTTTCTTGCATTCGATTCGACTTCGTTGTTCCATTCCGCTTTTCCTTGCGTGCAATATTACATCACCTGTGTGCATGTACGTGAATTATATGTGCTGAGAGAGACGCGAGCATATATAATGTACACATACGTGGAAGTACACCTATAGATGTCGATATGTATACAATATATACGTATAGATCACAAGAATATATATATCAAAAAATTGAGTCAACATGCTTGCTGATGGCAGGCTGGTAGCAATCGAGTGTTGGTGGTGCTCGGAGAGAGAAAGAGAGAAAGAGAGAGTGGTTGTGGTGTGGTGGCGGTGGTGTTGTCGTTATCACAACTAATTGCCGCTATATTTGTTGCCGTCGGCGCCGATTTCGGTGCCAACCGGCTTGCCGTCGTTCGAGTGCGCAGCAAGAAAGCGGCACATCGATAGCAAAGACGTTTCCAATCGTCATAACGACGATATTGACCAACTAAAAAATTGTGCAATTTATTTGTACAGCTAATTCTGACAATACTAACGACGCCGCTAAACACAGTTATCGGGTCTTTCCTATCGCGTCACCGGTTCAAATATTGTTCCGAAAAAAATATACGTAATAATAGAAAATATATTGTCATCAAAATGTAAAGGATATATAGAAAATATGTAAAATAAACTATAGGTATATTATTAGATTGATAGAAAAGTATTTAGAGCATGCTAGGAAGTAATGGAAAAGACCCCGATTATCTTCTTTGAGCTATTCACTTGTTTCAACTAACATTTGACATTCATGCAGTTGAGGAGACAATAGTCGAGATACTCGTTTCGAAAATTACTATGCTATATCGCTCATATAAACAATAGATAAGATCCTCAAATTACATACAGAAGGTATGTACTAGTATAGGTATACTAATCTTCTACTCAATTAAACTTGAATTTGTGCTATAGGAAAATTATTTATTGAACTGTAATTAATTAAATCAATTACGTTAAATTACGCATACGCTAATTTATCACGGTTTTATTGGTGATCAAAATAGATACACTAAATTCTAGTCTAACTGAAATTATTCTAATCGCTTAATCGATCTACTAAAAGTAATTATTTTTTGGCACTTCTTATCAGTCACTTTTAAATTGTCGAGTTCACGGCCGGAAGGCGCGAAGATCGAGTTAATTAAATCGCGGTTTGTTTTCTTTTAAGAGAAACGTAAAGCGAGAATAGTGAAAGTGTGTCCTCGCGATGCGTAGCGAGATACGCGGATACACGCACGTGACCACGCATATGCACGCACGCACGCACGCATGTCGGGACAATGAGTCTTGCTCTTCCCACGCGTTCGATTTTTCGTTTGAACGAAAGTTTCTCTTTCTGCTTGGCGCATCCACTCACGATTTTCGAGTTTATACAAGAATTTATTATTTTACGTCAAGTTTGCGCACATAAAAATAAATCTTTAATCAGATAAGATTTCTCACCGGACGGATTTGGATAAAACCAACTTTCTACCGAATTTTGAGACAATAATTTCTTCTTCTCGAATTTAATCGATTTTTTTCGCGAATGTATTTCGTAAAAACCGCATTTATTAACCGCTGGAGGATTTAATATCGTCATTTATTATTAAGCTCAATCATTTAAGTAATTAAAACGGTTAAACTGAAAGATCGTATCTCGTGGGGCTTCTGTTTTGCTAAATTAATTCTGGTTCTTATGTAGTTAGTAAAGTAATGGTGCATGCCAAGACATCTATGTGAATATATTTAACGGCATATACATCCCCGTGCCCGTATATACGTGTATATATAGAATGTCTCACCCAATCAAGTTTCAATTAGAAATTAACTCCGCGACGAAGTTAAAGACAACTGTTCGTTCAACGAAGATTTCGCAATAAGGAGAGATTATTCCGCATCGCAACTCATTCTCGCCAGTAATTAATTGTTTCGTAAAATTTTCATTAAAAAGAAACAAGAATTAAAGAAGCACAGAAGATGTAAATCTCTACTTTATAAAAGAAATATTATATTGTTTTTTTATTTTCCTGAAATGCCAATTGGCGCTTACCTTGTTTTACAATTTATTTCTTTTCTAACATTTAATTCTATCATCTGCGTTTGAATTTTTCATTGAAATTCTCAACGAGCGAAAAGCTGACCAGATTCCTTTAAACCTCCAATTCAACATGAGAAAGATGAGACGCTCTGTGTATATACGTATAATTATAAAATACTGATCGTGCTAGAATGTAAGGATAAATCGTAAAAAAGTAGCATGTGCAAGACATCTAAGATAAAAAACATGTATACAACACCTAACGCTATGTCGACTAAACTCGCTAGCTCTAGGAGCACAAGGATACTTGATCGTATGGTTGTGAGACAGAGAGAGAGAGAGAGTGAGAAATCTAATTAGGAAGAGAACTCATGCCGAAGGGAGCAGACGTTTCCGGTGGCTCTCGAATCGCACCGTCGCGTAATTTCCGCCGCGCCGCGTTTACCTTTGCTGTGTTTATCGTTTTTACCGTGCCGTTTATCCTATCGCGAACCATTTTCGCCGTGACCTTTCGCATTTCAACATGAAAATTATTCATAAGGGAAATTAAATAAATTATTCCGAAAATCTCTTTCGTTTATCGTACGCGCAACTGGAGCGATTAATTGCCAGTTAATCGTTATTTTATCCGTTAAACTCTTGCTAGTTTATCACGGATTTTTTTTTACGATGCTATTTTTTTGTGTAAACGTGACCCGGATATTTCAAACGCCATCGACGTAACCTCGCCGGAAGTATACGATGCCTCGTTGTTTCAGTATAATACGATTTTTATTACGAGAGACTTTATTGCCGCAGTGCAGTCCTCTTTTCTCAATTATTTTCTCTTTTGCCTTGCCAATTATATTTTGCTATAACTTACAATTTGATTGTAGTACGACTGTTCGTGCGGAAAGAGAAGCTCGTAATTTTGCTGAGAGTTGTAAGTAGCTTGATTATTTTACACGAAGTAAATTTCGTTCCATTTAAACATATAACAGTAAGTAGGGGAGACCGGGGCTCGTTGGCACCGTTTTCACAATTTCGGCATTTGAGATTTTATACAACTAATTATCATGATTAAACAGTACTAATACGATAGAGAGAATCTTTCTCTACATTTTCATACCAGAAACGCTCCTGTATACTGTATAGTTTCTTTGTAATAAGTAAAATACGAACATGCTGAATTGTAGGCAACTTGCCCCGATAGCAGGAGCAAAAGTCCATGTTAAATTAATGAAAACGTAATACTAATAGAAAACGTAATAGAAACACAAAACGGGAAACAGATGTGTACTTTTTGATAAAGATTGTATTTTTTAAAGTTACTTTGTAATGATCGAGTACCAAAATGCTGTTGCAGAAAAACAATTGTAAATTATTTTAGATGTAGCTTTCTTCAACATAAAAATATTAATATAAATATATATCTAGCTTCTATCAGCATTGTAGGTACCAAATCACATGCTCAATCAGGTATCACGCGCGCGACAACAAGTCAAGCTAAGTGTGTCTTGATATGAGCCAACATACCCCATTCTTACATACGTTTTATTTTAGTCAATTTATTACAATAAATTACTGTTGTTAGTCAAAATAACATGTCGTATAGTAACAGGAACTTTTCTTTTAACTAATGATACGTCACTTTGATTTACTTCTCAAGCTGAAGAACATTAATTGACGCGTTTAATACGTCTAGTGTTTCGCTTATATAATTAATTGAAGTGTACTCATTATCAAAAATCGGTAATGCATCACAGACTGGTAATCTTGATAGCGCGTCGCACTTTCCGTTCTCCTTTGATTTTACATAATAACCTTTAATAATCCCCTCGTGTTCTAGTTTTACTTTACCGTAGGCGTTGAATGACTTATTTAGTTTTTCAATTTTTAAATTCGGAAAAAGTCTTTCTTTCGTTACTTTCGATATTGCAGCAACGTACGCGCCGGTATCTATCTCCATTATTACGTCTACATCGTTTATCTTTACGTTTACCGTTATTGGTCCTGCCGCAATATTATCCCCTGTAATGTCTACGTTGGCAGCTTCTGTGGTGCTGCCGCTATTCTCGATTACTAGGAAGTCACTTGTGTAGCCGTCCTCCTCCGGGTCGAGTGGCTCGTCCTTCGTTTCCATCTGCTGCACGCTGCCTTGCCCCTCCCGGCAATCCATCTCGATATGCCCCCGTTTTTTGCATCGGGTACACGTTTTGTATCGATACCGCGCGAAATGATTCGGCCATCCGCAACAATAGCATGTCCCCATCGGTACCGTCGGCTGCTGCTTGTTTGGTGATCTCCATCTCTGCCATTCCTTGATTAAGTGCACCTCCGAGTTTAACGTTGCCGATGGCTGTAGTTTGTCGGTTGACGTCGCAATTTTCTTCGCCGCTTCCGCCGCTACAGCCAGTTTATAGGCGCTGTCATATGTCAAGTTCTCCTCTCGGAAAAGTATGGCCTTTATTGCATGATCTCGCAATCCGCAGACCAATTGATCGCGCATTGCTAGGTTGATGTCCGCAAAGTTGCAATGCGTTGCCAAGCTTTTCAGCCTTGCGATGAACTCCGCAATTGTCTCTGTTGTCGTCTGCTGCGCTTGGTGGAATTTACATCTCTCCATCACTTCGGAGGGTTTTTGGCACAAGTGATCTTTTACTAATTTCACCAACTCGTCAAACGCTTTGTCTTTCGGTTTTTGAGGCGCGCACAAATCTCTCACTAATTTATACGTTTCCGGGCTTATCTTAGTGAGTAATACTGCTACTCGTTTTTCATCCTTTATGTCCTTGGCCACAAAATATAACTCCAGTCTTTCGGTGTATAATTCCCAATCGTCTTCTCCGATGTGGAATTTTAATTTTCCCTTTGTTTCCGTCATTTCGTGGATACTCTTCGGCACTGTGTTTACAATCGGCCGCTCGAATCCTGTATCTATCCTTGGTTTCCTCGCGTTTGCTGTCGCCTGGCTCACTATCCTTATAGCAACACACGCGTCACTGCTTCTTTGCGTGATCTTAGCTTTGATGTGATTTGATGCGACTTTCGTAATGTATCGATACTATCTGTTTCGTGAATAACTGACAGTACACCTCTGCGGCTAATCGAGTTTACTCCGAATGTATCAATACAAGTGAACGCTACGCCGGTCTTCGCCTGAGTGAGTCCTCGCTCACGACGTCTCGCTCGGCACACGCATGTACGCAGACATACCTTTGCCACGCGCTACGATTTTGACCCTATATCACATCATATAAGAAATATTTTATAACTTTTCCATTTTTTGTTATAAATACATAAACGGAACGCATTGCCAACTTGCTTCTTGTGCCAACGAGCCCCGGTCTCCCCTAACCGTAAAAGTAAGTTTTTTTTTAGTTTATTTTTTTAGCATCAGAACTTATGAATTATCGTAAAGTTAAATTTATGAATTAACAATAAAGGTGAATTTTTAGAAATATTAGAGAAAAAAAATTTATGTGAATTTTTGTATATATAAAAATAAAGTATAGATTAAGACTTGCAAGTAGCAAAATAGATATCGTGGTTAATGCTTAATTTATTAGATGCTGTCTTTTATTTAATAAAATATAATTTTTTTTACAAAGAAACAAATTATTTACAAATAATTTATAATGATAATTATCACCTTCCTTATCCGTTATGATGTCACACGGTGTGAATACGTTTAGCAACTGAGATGATGAACTCGATTACGATTTCGCGTTGCATTGTAACTTTTTACGGAGATGCTATCGAGATTTCCGGCGAGATCCGAATGGAGTTCTCCATGTTTTCTCGCTCCGACACGAAAATCGTTGCTCATTGCTGATTGCACCTACTCCCTTTCAATGGAGACATACTCGATTATCAAATATCGCGCATTCACGTCCTAATCTTCCCACAAGGGCGCCCATAAAAGACAGATCGTATAAACTAATTCTCAAAAATTTTTTAAGCACGAAATTGAACATTAAAATCGAGATTAAACATTTAAATTGAAGCCAGGAAATTAAATCAAAAGTTAAAAGTAAAAGAAATAAAAATTAAAAATTATAATAACATTAAAGAAACAGAGCATTAAAACGAGTAAAATCTTAATTTAAAGATTAAGAAATAATTATAGATAACTAAGGCTGCGTTTCGATTATTTACTGTCAGTGCTGAAAATAGAAGTAAAATAGAATGTACATAAAAGAGAAAGAAGTATCTTCCAAACTCGATTTTCGATCAAAACTTTACAGATGTCTTTCTACGGACGCCCTTGTGAAATCTCTCACCTTTTCGCGAGTCAGCGCAAGGTGTCGGATGAGAGGGAATAAAATCGAGAGAGGTAAAAATGAAAGAAGAGGAAAGAAAAAGAAAACATAAGAGATAAAAGAAATCGTGCGTATTCAAGAGAAAAAGTGAAAATAGATTGCGTTTTTTCGCTGAATGGGAAAACTTACGAGGGGCCTGGCGCCCCAGTACCAGGATTTGACGCGTTGCGTTAGTCCACCGAGCAGGTGGGACCTCCAACCACCGAAACCTCCACCACCTCCTCCACTCTCCGAGCCCCTCTCCTCCTTGCTCTCGAGCTCGTCATCCTCCTCCAAATCGCGATTCCTCTCGCCGGCGCCCCGTCTCCCGTTACCGATCATCTCGGCGTCGCTACCCTCGCAACCCCCATCGCTCTCCTGCGTCGCGACGTCCGCGTATAACACAACCGGAAATACCTTATGTTAGCGCCCGTCCGCCCCTTATACTGCTAATTTATGCACGCGAATATTGCGGAGGACGGTGTGAATCAATATGATCGGTGCGATTACGTTGAATTAAGATAAGTGAGTGGGAGTGTGTGTGAGAAAGATTTATAGTACGTGTGTAGTTTAGAGATCGAAATTACCCTCATATAGAAGAAAAAAGTTGTCTTTGTTTTAATGTCTACAATGTCATTTATAGATTTTTAGGAGTAATCATTATTAATTAAATCTAATAAAATTACATTTTATCTTTTCATCTCTTTTTTTCTTTCCAAGTAGCAGAGCGACGTTAAAAGATATAGTGACGTTGTCTTTTAACGTCATTATGTCGAGTTTTCTTTGTTTATCAGCACAAAAATGTATTGATTGAAATAGATTGGAAGGTTGGTCTGTTTCTCTTTCGAGTCGCCCGTACGGTACCTTTGTAACTCTTTAATGAGATTAATTGTATCGTATACTCTTTTGCCCGCCGAAATTACGTAGTTGAGTAATGAACTCAATCAAGCTCATCAAGGAAGTACAAAGGAACTACACTCTTGCGTATCTCATATACGTATAGTTAGCTTTATTCACTTTACCCTTAGTTGTGCCTGACTGTTGAGCTAATTTCCTGTCTAAAAACCAATCTTTGCTGGTTTTCTCGTTTCCCTTATCTTCCTCGGGCAGCCACAGTAATTCTTCGCAAACGTAATAATTCTTCGCAATTTCTCACAACAATTTCCACAACGTTCTTTAATATCTCTATTATATTTGTGTATTTTATTCTTCTTATTTGTATGCCACACTGAAAGAAATTTAAATGACAACAAAATTTGATTTGCTGCGAGAGCAAACTTTTTGCTATTGCTAACAAAAGGTTTGTTACTATTGCTAAATTAATTAGCTCTCGCAGCAAACCAAGTGTTTGCTGTCACTATACTGACAAGTAATTTACTAATGCAGCAAAAAATTTCTCTCAGTGCATATAAGATGATATTTGCAATAAAGCACCTGCTCCTAGTTAACAAGATTTTCTTTGTCGCACTAAATAAAACAAGCTACTCACGTCGGCACACCGGTCTCTCGATAGAATCACGATCATGCGAGAAATACGATACTTAGAAAGTGCGATACAGCAACCGGACGGTCTCTTTGTAAAGCGATCGCGGGACCTACATGATCGACGCGCTCGCGTTTATGATCGTTTTGTGCGGGGACGCGTAACGGCGCGCAGGTGGGTCCGATTGTTGCCGTCTTAACTGGAGCACGTCCCCCTAGCTACGAAGGATCGTATGAAACCAGTTATATAAATTGTTCGAGGATCGTTTCATAGTGCGCCTTACACCCAGACTGTAATTTTCTCAAAAAGAACCACAGCTCTCTGGCAAAGAGAGAGATTGGGACAGGAAAGAAAGTAAGAACCTAAAATCTACCTGCTTGTACCTCAGCAATTTTAGATATTGCAATTTGAAAATTTCGTATTGTACAAATTTTATTTTTAATAATTATTTTAGTTTTTGTATTATATAAATAATTTTATGATACAAATATCATATTTGTATCGCATAGGTCATTTTCTTTTTCACGAGAAAAAGAATTATATCAATCTTTTCGTATGCATAAAAAACATATGAAAAAAGAAAATCATTGATCAGTGAAAGATCAATAATATATATTTAAAGTTAAGAGAGATGTGATTATACAATCAATTCCAGAGATAAGTCAATTAATAACTGCTTCTTGATCTTACGTCAGATTTAAATTGTTGCCTTTTATTTTGGCTATTAAAACGGTAGACACGAAACCATCAGCGTGGCGTGCAAAAGTAGTTCAGCATTTTGAGAATTAATATCTTAACCGTCGTTGAACCTTCGCCGACTTCAGCCGGCAACTTCGTTCTAAATTCAAATCACGTATTTTCGTGGTCACCCAGTAACCTTAGAGTCAGCAGCAGAAAATAATAATCATCACCGGTTATTAATGGGACCGCCGCGCCGGCCGCCGTCGCCGGAGAAAGTTTCGGGCGCGACGTTCCGTTATGTACGCGGAACGAGAATCACGTAGAACAAACGCCATGTCTCGGGTGGGCCCCGAACTGGGGCTCCCGAGAAGGAAGACCGGTGTTTTACGATTTCACGATGTAGGTCAATTGTCGCGGCGTTCAATGATACCGCGGTCGATCGGAGTCGCCGAGAGGTTTCGTTCCTGGAAAAGTCGGAGTAGCCGAACAGGAACCGGTCGTTCCTGTTCTTCTTGTCTGGGAATCGCGGAACACGATATTCCTCTGTTAGTCGTGACATTTATCAAAGAAGCGCAACGTCGCAAGAAGCATTGTCGCTCGCCGTTTAATAGCGTCTTAATTTAGCGCACCGCTATAACTAGTAAGAAACGTGTAATATAAGACGCTAATAAGATCGCAGCGTAAAATTGAAGCCGTCATTAAATTAATTTATTTCTTTTGTTTTTAATTTCTGCTGGCCTTGATTTAACGGACAAGATTTAGAATTTTCTGTTATAAATATAAACATTGTAAAGAATTACGAGAAAACGAAGAATAGAATAATCTTTTAAAATAACATTTCATGCGCTTAATGCAATTATCTTGGAAGCGAAAATTTTCGCGGGGGTGACGATAATCTGTGCTTTCAAGATAATTGCATTAAAAATAAATTAAATCAGTCCTTTTATTACCTAAATGTCTACTGACCCTGATTTGACAGATGAGACTTGGGATTTGTCGATATAAATAAAATGTACGATTATAAGAATATAAAACGTATAAATCTTTTAAAGTAACACTTCAAATGCAATTATCTTGCAAGCGAATATTATCGGAGGTTGATCAGACTTGGGGAATTGATTTTTCGATATAAATAAAATATGTGGATAATTGAGAATCATTCATTAAAATAAATATTGTATTAAAATTTTCGAATCGCGCATCGGCCGCGCCTGACTCGCCGTCGTCTGTAGATCCGACTGGCGAGTGAACTCATGGATCACGTCGATCTTCATGCGTAGGTGTCACTCACGAACTGGTTTGAAGAGTGGCGCAATACGTGCGGGGGTTCAACGAACTCCTAACGTTCGTATTATATTGTCGCGTTACAATTTTTCGTATTAATGCATCGCATTGAATTCTATTCTCGAACGCCACGAACGCGTGACGTCCACTCAAATTAATTCCAAAGATCAAGACGCAGAGGATACACGATCAGAAAATTGTCGTATCCTTGTAAACAGTTAGAATCCTGTATCAACATGTCACACTACATGTGTCTAGCCTTGTACTATTAATAGATTATACTTTCGCGTTGAATTCCAAAGATCAAAGCGTATCGTTATACGGAACCAGGGAATGCATGTAATTTCTGCCGCTTATTCGTAATTACTGCTGTTCACATTCCCGGCACACCCGGTATAAAACATTAAAAAAACGTCGCGTCACGCGATCCACCTCGTTATATCATCAGCCGCGATGCGCATGCATATCACGATGCACATTCTCTCGTATCGCCGCATCTTCCCTTCTCGCGCGCGCACAATGGACCCCCCGCTCCGGATTTTTTCCTCTTTTGAATCTCTCGCTCTCGTAATCGCGATCGAGCGAGATGATACGATCCGCAGCCGCCACAGGGTCGCTTCAATACGGCCCTGTTATCAGACTCTCGATAGCGCGGCGACGGAGAGCCCCGAAGAGAGTGTGCTGCACCTGGGAGGACTGCACATATGTAACCTGCATCCGCGATGCCAGAGCTCGCTAATCTGGCAACGTTGTGTAGGAGCCGGTCTTACGGGCGTAGCTGCGATTTTTGGGCCCGAAAGCGAAGTCTCCGCCGGAGTCTCGCCAGTCTCTTCGAGATCGTTTATCCTCCGACCGTCGTCGCGTCGCATCTTCGTAAGGAAGAAAAATGTCGTAACGCTCCAGACACCGTGACGCGCGGAACCTTTAACGGAATCGGAGCCTTCTCCGGGCTCCGGAAAGTGGTTGCTTTCAGTCGCCGTGTTCCGTTGTCGTACGTTCCTGATTTTCTCTCACCTGTTACCTGTCCCGTACCCTCTCCCCTTCCTCACTCACCTTCCATGTGATCCTCTGTTACTCGTCCGCTTCGCGCCGTAGTTTCTCCTGTGCTCTTTGGTTCCCTACTTTTATTTGTTGTTCTCATTCTCCCTCTCTCTTTCTTCCACCATCAGTTCCCTCCGCGTTTCTCTCTCCCTCCTTCTTTCTCTTTCTTCGGGGGCTGACTCACTCTCTCGATCAGGTAAACGTAAACCTGGCGCTGGCTGGCCGCCACTTCATGTCCGATTCCTGAATCAGTCGCGCAGGCACCAGCGAATCGAACGCTCCTCTCGATCGCGTTGCTCTCTCCTCGACAGTCACGATCCTTATCGCCGATCCTGCAGTAGTTCAGAAACTACGAGAAGATCTTTGTGGACCTTGATCATTCGGAGCACTCTGTTAGCCACTCAACAGGTATTTACCAGAGTCAGACTTTAGAAAGTTCGGTCTTTTATCGCGAGCTCTTACTTGCTCGAAAATATTTCAATATTTAAACAAGCGACGTCTAAATATTTCTAAACCCTCTAAATATTTACTTCACGGTTTCCGAACATTTCTTTCTCATGTCCACGTGTCGATGTTTCAAACTTTCTCGAAGTTACTAACCTTTTTTTTATAAATATTTATTAAACGAATATTTATATTTATCGATAACTTCGCGATCAATTTGCTGCACGTTTTGCTACGGAGATTTTGTATTTTGCAAATCTTTTTCTCATAACGAGATCACGTTATACGACACGTTACGGAACACGACATGTAAAATATTCCACGTACAGGGAAGTGTGTGGGCTAAACGATTGACATTCCTTACGTTACATATGCGATGATGTAAATCGCAGTTCCGCCTTTGCTGACTTTACTCGGCCTTCGAAATCGCGAATGAACCGTTGTC